TACATTCAAAAAAAATTGAATTGGAAATGAAAATGTAAAAGCTCTTCACTTTCGGTGATTACATGTATTATACATGCAGATATTTATGTTTGTGAGCTATATAAATATTATTCAGTAATATAGATTTTTTGCTCTGTACAAATATTTTAAAGTTTGCTAAAAGCTATCGTGCGCGCCGTGCTTTAATTCTTGGCAGCTTTCTTGCTCTCATAAAATAAATATATTTTTACTATGTATAGGTGGCGCTATAGAGTTCCAATTAAATTTAGTTCGATTATATAAATTTATAAATGACCTAAAAAGCGTTGGCTTTGTAAAAAATATTTTTGTAGGTAAAAGCTTTCATTAACTCGGATCTGAAAAAACCGAGGTTTGGAAAAAATAATAATTACTGTGCTTTTAAAAATTTGAATTTTCTTTAAAGCTTATTACTAAGCTTTTGTTGCATGAAAGCTTCTGTGTAAAAGTGAAGTGAAAGCTCCATTCGCCTATTCGCAATTAATTTTCTTCTTTGTTTCTTCAAGTGTATCTATTCAGTTTGCAATAACACTGTAATCTACAGAAGGATGTAAGAAAATGCAAAACAAAAAAAAACTTTACTACAACAACTATTGCAATGAAGTTAACAAAACAACAGAATCTCTTTGCTCGGGCAGAAAGCAGGAGAAGCAGAGACATTGAAGCGAAAAAACATGAATGTAAAAATGTCGAAATTCCTTCACAGAACATTTATTTCGGTGTTTTGCTTGGCTTCCTAATATACACTTACAAACACACATACATATATCCATGTATGTGTATATATATATTTACATGGGCAAAAGCACAGTTACATGTTTTACACACATAAATACATTGATTACGCAGAAGATAGTACGAGCAGCGCGAAAAACAAAAACAAAAATTTAAAACAACAACAACAACAACAACATCTCTCTGCACTCCATATGGCAACAAGCAAAACAGAAAAATAGCAAAACATAACGAAACAACTCTTAAATAATCCAAAATGAAAATACAACAACACAGGCACTTCCAACACAACAACACCGGCTGCAAAAAAAAAAGTGGAAAAAATTGGAAAAAATCAAGGAAAAAGTTATTTATTTTTTTATTTTCATTTTTCGGTCAAACTGCACTCGAACTACTGAAGTTGGCACGCATGGTTGGCTGCTTGGCCGTGAGGCCATCGTATTGGTGTGCAACTGAGGCTGACTGCTACTGGTTACTGGCCACTGGCCACTCGCCTCGGTTTCGCTTTGCAATTCGCATGCTTCACTTGAGTGGCGGCGCGAGTGGATTTACTGTTGAAAGCGGATCGAAAGGAAGTAATGGTCAGCAATATCGAAAGCAATGGAGTCCCATTAGTGAAAGCTTTCGCATCCGAAGCGATCACAGAGCCAGAGTTGGGTAGGAAAATTTTCAGCGAAATTGAGAAAGATGGAAAGAAGGGATTTTCGGCCGGGCTCCTCCTCTAATTTGTGGTTTTTCCAACAAATGGAGGGACCTATAATTCATAACAAGCCGCCTCCGAACGGCTAATGGTTTTTTATAAAGAGCCTTTACTTCATGTCAGAAATAGACTCGGAAGAGTAGGCATTCCTTTCCCAGGGGCGAGCGCAATTAAATAATTTTGCTTTTTTTTTGGGATATAAGAAGGACACCAGCATTTGAAGCCGTGCCTTCTGAATGGCAGACCGCCATGCTAACTACTCGGCTACCGCGGCCGCATTTAGACTTTTCGTTCTCTCTGCAAAAGGCATGTAATCAAGAACAACATCTTTTCACAAATCTCTACAGTAAAGGACGGCACGGCAAGTTGGTGTGTATGATGTCAGCGGATAGACTTCATAAATCGCAGTGGGCTTAGAAAAGGAGGATTGAGGGTTTTAGCTATAAGGTCCCGAGCAGAGTCGCAATACAGACATTAAGCAAACCTAGAACATTTGAAATACGTTCTAATCGCAACGTGTGTCTCGTCCCATGAATATCTTGGGGAAACATTTCTGACTGACTCGTTCCTAACCTGTAGTGCACCGAATATCTAGCTGCTTCTCCGCTGAGCGTTGTTGTCATGAAGTGGGGTGGGTTAAATGGCGGGAAAATTATTCAGGTCTTATCTCGTGTCTTTTAAGTTGCTCTATGGGCTCGAAAATAGCTACGTGCCTTAACTGGTCCTTCTGCCTGTCCTAGAATGCATTCACAGTTGCCCTATTTCCCTTGGAGTATAACGTGAAATCTGTTACAGGCGGTGAGTATGCTCTACCGAATTTAAATCAACATGACTTGGTTCCTCTTTAAGTACACTGAGGATTTACCAAAGTCACCATTCATTACCCACCTTCGCTTTAATTTTATTTGCCTCAAATTTCTTTCTTTCTTTCCTTCTCAGTTCGGCTGCCATCTCAAGTCTTTCCTACCAGCCTCCGCAATGACCCAGCATCATTTCGCCTGCCCCAAAATGTTAAAGCAAAGCTCAACAACTCAAGCCCAAAAACAACTTAAGCCTTGCCTTTCCTTTTTGTTGATGTTTTTCATGCTTACGCTTGCCTTACTTTATTTCGAAATTTCTTTTTTACTTTTTATGTCAGTGTGTGTGTGTATGTCTTCCGCTCGCTGCTGCTTCTGCTGATCTTGATTGCATTCATTGCTACTGTTTTTTTGGCTCACCAAGAGTCATGTTGTGTACAAATGCTGTGTATGTGATTGTGCTTGTGACAGCTATCTTAACGTTGTATCTGTCATTCGCCACTGTGCGTTCGAAACATTTCTCCTCGGCGTGTAGTTGCCACAAGCTGATGGTGCATGTTACTCAAGTGTATGCCATTAATTTTCGTTACTGTTCTTATTGTTGGAGTTACCATTTCACTGGTAAAAGGTACAACCACTTACCGCTGCGCACCAACACACACAAACACATACACAGCCATATGCAATGCTTTGCTTATCTCCGAAAACTTCATCACGAGTATCTATGTATGTATGTATGCATGCAGTATGTTAATTGAGTGTGTTGCATGCGACATTGTTGTCACATATCCGTGTCAGCAAACGAACCATTGTACCAACTACTTGCACTCCACTCTAACACACGCACACATATCCACACACCTGCAGACGGAGGACCGTACACAGGCAATTCAAAATACGCCTTCGTCATATGGTCCTGGCCGAACTGTTTAAAACCAAGCAACATCAGGCAACTGCAACCGGCTCCGCCGTAGACCAAAACGGACCGACGCACCACATTTGGAAATCTAAACCGGCCATCGTCCAGCAGTTGCTCCCTCAGTTTCGGTCTGAGGTTTTTGACTGCTCTTATGTGTGCTCTTCTTGCCTGCGCGTTCTGGGCGCTGCCATTCTACTGCTACAACAATTTTGCTTCCTTTTCGTTCATGTCGTTTCAACTTGGTTGAATTTTGTGTGCCTCTTTGTAATGCAATTTTCTCGTCTGTACTTTGTTGTACTTGTTTTTTTTTTCGTCCATTTGCTATCTGGTGAATTTAAGCTGGTAATAATGTTAAGTCGCTTGTAGTTAATTCAATTCAACGTCACAGTTACCTGGATATTACCGCTTCAAGTGAAGTACACTGTGCGAGTACTATGGAGATAAAAGCCGGCGAAAAATGAGAATCTCTTGCTCACTTTTGCCAAGCGGTCCTAATTTGGACTAGGAATTTAGATAGAGTGAATTCCTCTTTTGACCTCCCCTCTTTCTGATGCAGATGAGTCGTCGCTGATAAGCCGGCTCTAATAGTTCTAACTTCGAAATTTCTCGATGCAGTCTGAGGAAACACAAAATTGAGTATCCCATTTCGCTGTTTATGTGGAGAAGGAGTCGGCTCTTCAAATCGGCGCTAAACTGACAAGCTTTGGCTTATTTAACTATTAGGACGTCTGCGCAAATTAAGAAAAAGTGGCACAATTCGAGATACAGTAGTGAATATTGGAAGAATTAAGGTATTGATACCATCTTGATATATTAATATGGGTCAGATCACAATTACAAATTAAATTACGCCGGCTTGGGCCCCAAATGCAGAACTAGATGTTCAGTGGTTATATTGAGGAATCAGTAGGACGAAATTGGCGGAGAGCATAATCAGATCAGCTGCATTGAAAACATAATCTTTTGCTGATAAAACACTTATTTTTACCTTTTTGGGGAAAATGGACATGGTATTATATGACTGAAGTGCTCAGAGAAGATGTGTCGAGCTACAGAACGGTTTTACATCTCATTAGACCTCGTGGAATCCAACGACGGTTACAGTCTCTGCAAATGCCTTAAAGATTTGGACATATAGGCCGAATGCCCTTAGTTCCTGTTCTAAATTTTTTTCATTTCAATGCAATTATAGTTTCAGGCTCTCAGAACTTCACAACTGCTGGTGGTCGTCATTATTCACAGTGTAACGACACAACCGTCAGCTCTGCATTTAAGACACCAAACATTTTCGGGAAGCAAAAAAAAAAAAAAAAACAAAAAAAAGCGAAAACACGAAAGCACGGTAAATGACAAAAACATTTGGAAGAGCCAGAAAAAAAAACTGGAAAAAAATCATTATAACCCAACTGAGTGAATTATCTGTCTCTGCGACGCTTTTAAGTGTTTCAATTCAGCTTGAAGTATTTTCAATTTTTTTTCGTACAACATTTTTTCTTTCGTTTCATATAGTTTTGGACTTGTTTTTGCATTTTGATGAGGAAGTTAACATTTCCTTTTATTTAGCTTGAAGGGCAAATTTGCCATGTGAAGCGTTAAGTGTACACAAATTAGTTTGGTTACCTGATAAGTAATACAATTTAGTTGTTGTTGCTGCTTTTTTTGTTTATGTTTTTGCTTTTACAATGTAGATATATTTGAGATACTTTGTTATACATGCATGTGTGTGTGTGTGTGTGTGTGTGTGTGTGTACACGCACATTTAATTGCATTTCATTTGTCTACATGGTTCGTTTGGCCTTTGCCTTCCACATCAGCCAAATTGGTTTATCTGTTTTTTTTTTTTGGTTTTTCATTTTTTTTTGCTTTTCTTTCGTCATTTGCATTGCGTTAATTAATTTGGTATTATTTGGGCAGTTGGTGACTTTCGTTGTTGTTGTTATGGTGGTGTAGCAATATAATGGCCAACAAATATTGTAATGAGGGTGAATTTCCACGCTGAAAATAATTGAAATAAAGTATTTAGCAATTTTCCAAAAAAAAAAATAAATAAATGATAATAAAATAATAATAAATAATAATAACTAAGAAACTGAAAAGCATTATGAACATTATTTAGCAAAATAAATTATATAAATGGGTTGACCCTTCTGCGTTGAACAGGTGTGGCAAGTACTGCATGGAAACTCAATTCCATGCATTTCCTTTGCAGAAAAGATATTATCTCTTTAGTTACATACATAAATAGAATGGTAAAAGTCTACCGAGAAAGTGGATGTTTTCGTGCTGTGAATAAAATTATAGAAAACTCTAAATTGCAATAAAACAAGTTTTTGACAGGCAAAGTATGGAAAATTCTATTCTCCATTCCAATTTGAAAATTTTCTGGTGAAAAACAAAAAATTTGTTTTTCTTTATTTTTTTTTAATATCACTTCTTTGCTGCAATTAAAAAATTAAAAGAGAGATAAGTCCAATATATATTTAGTGAAATATTTTTGTTTAAGAATCTTTCAAAAAAATGTGTTAAACTGCGGGTTTACAAAAAGCTTGCAAGCTCTTATTATTTGCTTTATTTTAAGATGTCCCGTGCGACTTCGAAAATCAACACCTAAGATCACTCAAAATGAAATGGATTAATAAAAAGTATTTTAAATTATAAACTAAAATTACTGAACACTGGAACTAAAATTATGAAAAATACAAATAATTGCGGAGGATTGTCAAGTTGGTATTTTAGGGTGGTCTCGTGCAACATCGTATAGGCATATTTCAAAAACTGCGATCAATTTAGATCAACGAAATAGAATAAAAAATCAAAAATTATTCGTGCATGAAAGAAACCGCAAATTTGAAGAAAAAAACTTCCGTTTCTTACTCACACGAAAATGTTGCTTTTCATTTGTATAAAGAATTTAGTAAAATTAAAATATGGAACACATTTAAAATGCTTTTTATTAAAGGCCATTAAGTCGATTATAAAAGTGCGCTACACCACACCATGAGATCAAAAATCATGAAATAAGAATGAAGATTTGAACATACATTACATATAAAAACGTAAGTATATGTATATACATATATACATACAATAGAACACATAATATCGCAAAGAAAGATACAGCAACCAAAAAAAATAAATAAATAAAAACGAAACAAAAATAAGACTTTCAAAGTCGTGCGAGTATTTTACAAGCTATTAAATAAAAATAACGAAAAGAGATGATCGAAAAAATAAAACAGTAAAAAGCGTTGTTCCAAAGAAGCGAGTGCCTGATAAACCAAATAGACCAGTAGACATGTCAGCAGCACATCAAATGCGGCGGCACTAAAGCAGACGAATTAAAATGATATAAGAGATTTCGTTTTTTGAAAATTCTTTTTTGTTCAATATAATTTTTTTTTATTTTTTTTTATTTTTATTTATATTTTTTTCTCTCTTTCAGCCTTTGTAAGCGTATTATATGGGTTTTCGGCATTATTATTATTGTTGTTATTATATAATTTGTAAAGCTGTATAAAAATATATAAAAAATTTATGAATGTACATATATATATGAATAAGCACATGTTTATTGTTAATAATAAGGAACTTATGGCGGCTGTTTGTATGTTTTATTGCTAGCAATAGCATTGAAGTTGCTTATAATCGCCAAATGGTGACGCGGATGCTGTAAGCTACAAGAAAAAGTAGAAGAAGAGTTCATGCAAAGTATGTAATAAAGTTTACGATGATTCAAGGTTGTAGAAAAATATTGGATGAACTCTTAAAGGACTAGTAACAACCACGCCTAGAACGGATGAGTTTTGCAAGCAGTGCAATACAGTTGCAAAATGCATTTCAAAGTAAGCCGTTGTGTAATGAATTTATAGTTTTATGCTAAGAACATTGCTATGTGGAAAGCATAGAAAGTAACGAAAATGCTTTCGAAAAGTTGGAAAACGACACCAAAATGCAATAAGAAGTAAAACTGCTGCAAAGCATAGCATTCTTTAATGAGTTGAAGTTTGTTAAACGCACTGATTACGGAAGAACAAGTCACTCTATATAAACAGAATAACCTTGAGATTAATGTAGGGTAATAAATTGAATGACGTATCCAGTAAACATTACCCAACACATTACAGTACGAATTGCCACACAGTTGTTGTGTCATGAAAATTGTTACAGCTGAACATCATGCGAACTGATTTAGCTTGATGTTAGCATAATAGGAAAGCGTCTTCTTTGGTAAACGGACTAGTACCTTACTCCGTTGGACTATATATCATAACCACTTCGGAGTGAAAGCGTATTGGTGTCGCCTAGAGCACTGACGGCTGCGCATAGCTACATCAAGTCCGATCAGTTCAACGCAAACAATAGGCTTTCATTGTTCATATGTATGTATATTCATAGTACATACACGTATGTACAAGTATGTGCATTTACATGCAACGTTGTGTTGCATTAAATAATTGTCTTAATATCTTTTATAATCATCCATCGTTAGCTTCTCCGCGTTATTGTTATTATTATTATTATTAATATTAGTATTAACATTACAATTCAGTTTTTTATGACATTCACTTGGCTCTCCTCAGCTCTGCACTACTGCTGCCCGCTTGCCTATGGTCACACTCATGTGGGGGTAGTCAGTCAAGTCAAGTCTTTCGATCCTGGTGCTGTTGGATTTGCTGACAGTTTTATGACTGTATTTATGTAAACATAGCCCGGTTGGAACTGCCTGTGGCTGCGAAGCAGTCTAAAATCTTTAACACATCCTCCATAGGCACATCCAGACACACCAAGTGGAAATAGCGACGAAGAAAATGTTGAAGTGGATGTGTTTGTACGTATGTATGTATATTGCTTGAAGTATAGTACAGTGGAGCCTTGGAAGTGCAAATAAAACCTAAATTGTAAGGCCTAAGGGGCTGAAGAGGAGGAGGTTAGGGACGAACGATTACTTATTTCATACAATATACTTAGGAGAGTCCTGGGAGGCAGCACAAGCTAAATATTTCCGCAGTGAATATCGAGAGATCGTCATTTGCCTTTCTCCGTACCCACCTCTGACTGAGTGATTCCACACATTTAATAGCTTCAAGGTCCCTTTTCATGCTATCCCACAGGTCTGATTGTATTGAACAACCTCTGAAGCGGATACAAATACTGATTAGGAAATTTGTGATTGTTTTATAAATTCTGACGTAATCTGATCCAGTTTGGTTTTTCCAAAACACTATTTTTCATAGGCTTTTGGTCATGCCATGAAAACAATAATCTCTTAATCTTTCGCTTTGCCTTTTGCGAAGTTTAGACTTATCGAGTTTTCCCTGTACTTTTCTGCGCGAGATATAAAATTAACAACAAAACTTTAATATACAACCTGAGCTGCCTACCTCGCACCTTGAAACCCCCAAGACATTTCTCCAAACTCTTTGTTGGATTTAATTACACTTTACTACTCACATATTACCGCTTACGACCACATTTACCTGCTTTATGGCCTTAACATTGTAATTTACACACACATTAAGGAGACTCTTCTTTCTCCCATAAGACAACTTTTTTCCATACCTTGCTGTGCCCCTCGAACCGCTTGCCTACAGGCAATAGCTGAGTAATAAAAATATATACATATGTACGAATTATATGATTGTGTGCGTGCGCTACTCGTATGCTGGCTAAAATAAATAATAATATTCGATTTGCTTACTAGCAATAAACACAGATAACTGTTGTTGTTAATTTTAATGCAAAAAATTAATTTTCTTTTATAAAATCATTAACATTTTATTTATTCTCTTTTGCGCTCCTTCGTGTTTCTTGTTTGCAGAGACATTAAAAGCCGCTTATCAACAATGCTGCGCTACAACAATAGTTTACGGCGCCATAAAAGCTGACTTTATGTCCACTCCACTCCACGGCGCAATGCGTCCACACAACTCCAGCACCACCGGCACCAGTTCCTGCAGCAGCGGGATGTACGTATGTATTGTATGTGGATATGGTTTGGGTGAGCTCTACTCGGAGCCTTAAAAATTCACCATTTCGTTTACGTGTCCTACAGTCGCCACCCATGAGCATCTCAATTCGGCGAGGCAGGCCCAGTTTGTAATAATTTTGTAGATTAGCATTAATTGAAGTGAAGCCGTTTCCCAACAGCTTTTTGCTTGTTCGCATCACTGCATTATTATTATTCTTATTTTTATCATTGCTATTATGGTAATGTGTGAGGTTGTTGTTCTTATTGTTATTGTTATTATAGCTTCGTATTATTTTTATTACAATGGTCGTTAATGCTGTTCTCGCGCAAGCAATTGTTAATGTTTTAAAACCCTGCAAATCTTTCGCCTCCTGTATTTTGTATTCCTGCTTTCCTCCTTCCATTTTTTACTTTATTCCCCAATTCTTTGCTTCAAACATTGTTCTGATTTCCTTTGGCTCGTCTGCTGGGCTCCCGAAAAAAGTTTTCGAGCTTTTCGAGCTTTACTTTGACTTCATTAGAAACTCACTGATGGCTGGGCACGAGATCAGACGATGTTCAAGGTAAACACCTTCGGCATCGTCATCAAATGCGGCAGTAGCAGTCAACGTCTTTCTCTTTCTCTCATTACTTTAAGTAATGTAAACATCATCGTAATGGGTGTTATAGGAAAAGCTTGTTGAAAGCTCCCGTAGGCAGGCTTGTCGAGCTTTATTCTTGGGATGGTTTGTTTTGCGTGCTATTGGTGTTGCTGTCGACTTTTGTCGTATTACTATCGTATCGTATTACTTCCTTTTTAATGCATGGTTTTAAATGTATCTTGATTTAAAAAAGGATTTCAAAAATATGTAACCGAACGGTAATTATAGTCGATTTCCTCAGATAGAACTCGATTGACATCTAGCATCACAAATATTATGACTCTCTGTCAAATTCACACCTGAAAGAACATATCGGGGCTCTAAGAACTCTTATCGGATACATTCAGGCATACAAATAATTTGTTCTTTTGTCCTTGGATTGGTTTGTCCGGCAATAAGTCGAATTGATGCTCCCTAGTATTTGGGATCAAACTGTAACCAAATTCTTATCCTAAAATTTACCGATGATTTTTTTAATGGATTTTTTTAATTCTAATGGGATTTTCGAAATAAAATTTGGAGGGCCAAAACTTTTTACTTTTTCTATTGACAATTTATATCAAATTTTATTCCCATCAATTCAATATTTCTTTTTCATTACGATGAACTCTTTGTTCTGTCAGACAATTACTGCGTCATTTCAATTTTCCAAGTCACAGCAGGAGGCCACATACTAAGCGGAAGAAGAAGCATCAACATAGAAGAAAAGCAAAGATTGTGCTCCAGCAAGTGACAGATTTTTTCGCTGACGCATTTGGTAGCACAGAAAAGTGCCGCAGTCCCTGAGCAGCAACAGCGTATGACGGATTCTTCATTAAGAAGCGACAAATATCTGGATGTGCAGATATGTATGTGCTTATGTATGTATGTATGTATGTACGTATGTATGTTTGTATGTCTACCTTTGATTGCTTTGATGTGCCTGCATTTGCAATTATTCGCCATGTGTTGCTGTTGACTGCTCGTTGCTATTGTCCTCTGGGATTATTTTGCTGCAAATAAAAATAACGTTAAATATGAGGAAGAGCAACAACAATCACACTTACACGCGTACACTAATTCACTAGAGTAATGTAGAAGGAAATGTTAATGAGGTATGTAGGCAACTCGTTAAGCTAAATTATTAATGGCAAAACAGATAACCAAAGCTGTGCAAGTAACTCTTGAAATTTGGCTTTCTCTTTGCGACAAGACTTTGTTTAAGCATACAAGTATTTTGAAGAAATTCTAATCTGCAAAAAAGATAAATGATTTTTTCAAAAAATATAAAGTAAAATAGAAAATTTAAAATAAAATAAAACCAAATAATATAAATTTAAAAAAAATGAAATAAAATAAAATGAAATAAAATAAAATGTGAAAATGAAAAAAAAATTTGGTACTTTCCTCTTTCTTCCAGCATTTCAATAGATCGATCAGCGGCTTCATTTGCCACTCCTTCTAGCTGTTGAAGCTCTTGTGAAGCGGAAACCCACATTTTGAACAGCCTAAATACACCGCTTGGAAAAAAAGCTTTCTCCGCACCTCATGTTCTTGTGCGCAATGATCTGGCAAGAAAAGTAGCAGCAGTGCACAGCACAAACACCATACGCGCTGCTTGAACGGATTTGCAATTTCAGCGCCTGCTACTACCACATTACCCCACACGCACCCATCCCAGGGGGTTTCTTAACGCTTCGCTGGCAACAGAACAAAAAAAATAAAAAATATTGCAATGAAAAGTTTAACAAGTGTTCGTTTGAAAATATTAAATCGCTAACAGCGCACCCCAACCGCCGACCACACAGTTGTTTTTGCTTCAAGTAACATTAATTTGATTGCATAATCGCTGTACGAAAAAGGAAAACGAGCTTAACTACAATGAAATTTTTTAATAAAAAAAGCGAAAATCATGAACAGAAAAATTTTAACACAAAGAGGAACAAATGCGAAAACACTTTGCAAGAGAAAAAATTCTATTTGGTTCATAGTTAGGGCCTTATACCCTCTACGCATTTCAGTTGAAATATAAATATAAATACATAGCTACGATTTGTTGCAATAATTCTTAAAAATATAGTTTTCAATATTGTTTTTTTTTTTTAATTTCACTGCTGCTGGATTGAAGTATAATACATATATATATATATATATTGATCAAAATTAGAATATACTTTCACGTTCAAAAAGGGCATAAGACCGGCAATAAATTAAAAAAAATTAAAAAAATGCTTTTGAAAAAATTGCCTGTGCTTATAGCAAATGTAATGCGAAATAATGTGAGATCATAAAAAATATGTTGCAGACGCTGGCCTGGCAGCCACATGTTGGCCCCACTCAAATGCTTGAAATCATATGTTCACTCACAAGATTGTGCCTGAGAGCTCTCGCTCTATGCTTGCCTGATTGTACAATACAACTCAACATCTCATGCTCTAATTGTATGCGTGCAACATTTCCTGTTGCCTTCTGCAGCGCAAGTGTAATATTCAATACACACATACACGTGCATACACATGGCTGGGTCTTGAGGTCGCTTAAGTGTTTTATGGCGCTATTTTGTATATTGTAAATTGCTTATGGATGTTGCCACTGCCTTTCGTTTCGATGTGAGGAACATATTCTCCTTAGTAAAATTTTTTTTTTTAATATTTTAATTTTTTTTTTCTATTTTCCTTTTGCTTATGCACCACTCATTGCTGGTCTTGGTCTTGATTTGACTTGTTGTTTAGTTCAATTTGATTACATGGATGAATTTCTAAATACTTACAAACATGTTTAAGAATAACAAATATACTCATATATACATACATATTTATATGTACAATATGTGAATAAGAACTGCTTCCAGATGTTGCCATATGACCTCTTTATTCTATTTGTTATACTTCTACATATGTACATATGTATTTACTAAATACTCACATGGAGATGCCCAAGTTTTTTGGAAACTCAAAGATTCTTTTAATTACACGCATATTTACATATATGTATGCACGGATGTTTGGCTAGTTTTCAGCTTATGAAAAAACGAAATTCATTAGAAACTGTTTGTATTGAAGGCAACTTTTGAAATTTTTTTCTTTATTTTTTTGAATCAAGGAAATTTTTTGGGGCTTATACCTATAAGGAAAGGATCGCTTGGGTCACTCGAATGTATCTGAGAGCTAGGGAATTTAGTTTTTCGGAAAATTGTATTCCTTCCAAGTACATTATTCATCTGATACAATTTTCTGGAATAATTTTAGAAAATATATGAGCACTTTTCATAAATTCCATACTTTCCATCCTCAGTAAAACAACATTTAATTTTTTATTTTGGGAAATAAAAAAAAAAAATAAAAATCTTTTTTTGGTCTATTTATTATTAAATCTCTCAAAAAAAAAAGAAAGAAAAACATTGTATGTCAGAGTAAAATTGATAAAAAAATATTATATCACTTTACTTACCTTAATATCCTTTTAAGCAAACTGCATCGAACTGAAGTTTAAGATTGAAGCAGTCAATTTGTGGTCCATTTCGAACTGGTTTGAGAGTGATATATTTCTAGCGGAAAGTGTATGATTAAATATATATTATTATAATTTTATTTGCAAAAAATCCGTTTTCAGCACACACAAACCGTATTAGGGCCAAAATGAACTAGTTCTTTTTTTGTTTAGTTTTAACTAGTTTTGTATATCTGACAGCAAATAAAATACATTTTATTATTATTAATAGTATTATCATTATTATTTTCAAACTTAGTTTATTTAACAATTAAATATTAAAATGCCAAAAAAGGGATAAAGTGAACATTTGAAACTAGTATAAGACTAATTTGTTTCTGTTCGAAAACTGACAGTTGCCAGCTTGGCAAATCGATAAATTCGTTTTAAAATACCAGCTGTTTGTATAGCAAATAGCTGTTGGCCTCCCAGTTTCTAAGTAGTTTCTTACTAGTTCAAATGCTAGCATATGATGATATGCATAAACGAATTTACATGAATTTCTGGAAGCGCAGTTGGGTGGAAAAATTGTAATTGGACGCTGGAAAACCTTACAACGATATAACATTGGTGACACTTTTTCATGAAAAGTGCTTGGGTAAAGACTTGGAAAAAAACGAATTCAAAAAAAAAAAAGGAAAAGCAACAAGGAAAGGCGAAATCAACAAACAATGAAATTCAATAGAAATCTTGAGGTAACAAATAGTAACCCACCAAACTGGAATTTATTGTTTATAAAATAGCAGAAGATAACGAAAGCCGCCCTTACCCGAGTAGGCAGCAAAAGGAGGCAATGAAAAAGAGAAGAAACAAAGAAGAAGCATAGATGATGTGCTGAAGACCAGCAGCAGTGTGTCGTTAAGGTTGACTGCGCTTTGAGGTAGGGCCACACGGCGATGAAAGGAAATAAAAGAATCTATTGTGTTTTCGGTTTGTGCAAAGATACTTTAAATGTCATCATCAACGTTGCGCCTACCAGCGAACGAAGAACAAGACAATGAATAAAAAAACAACACATTCAAATATGGAAGAAGAAAAAATCCAAATAAAAAATCAACAAGAAAGAAAAAAAGTTGTATTGTTTGTTGGCTGCATTTGCATGTTCACTGCACTTTTATTTATTTATTTTTCTTTTTATTTTATATAAAGGTGTGGTATGCACATTGGTACATACTCGTACATACATAAGTGTATAAATATATACACATTTGCTTATAAACGTATAAGGCTTGGCACATGTGCATGACTACAAATAAATGCATCGATTCACCAAAAGAAAAGAAAACATGCAATGAAGATATACATACATAACTAGTGTCAATACAAACATACAAACACACATATAAATATGCTTATATATGCAGAGATATGAAAGTGTTGTACACAAAGCCCTGCTGGAAATCTGAGTTTACAGTGTAAATGTGCTTCTAAGCTCCATTTGTACCATCCACAAAACCGTAAGAACTTTCAATCGGAAGATATTTTCTTAAATAAAGGACCCAAAACTGGGCCCCGCTGGCACTTTAACCGAGTGGGCTTGAAGACTATAATATGTTTATCAGCTCAATTTACTTTTTTCATACCTCACAGGGTCTCTTCTCTACGTTGAGGTGTCATGTTCTACCTTCGCTCAACGAACAAAAGACTGCAAACATACGCAGTCATCGCTTAAGGCAACAGCAACGCCTGCAATCGTAGTCGACACGGCACGGCACCGCTCAACTCAAGTCAGCAGCATCTTCAGGCAAAGTGGCAATGCGTCGTCGCACTTGTGCCGGCCGTAAAACTCAACAAACAAACTGCCGCAGAAAGCCAATACAAGTGCAAGTATACGCAAGTATGTATGTATGTATGCATGTATGCATGTAAGTAGTAAGCAACCAAGCCCCACACTGCATTGAGTGCCCTGCAGAAGTGCGTGTAGCAGAAGTATAATGTGTCGACAATAAAGTATGCTAATATATTTTTCTTGGTAACGTGCTTTGTTGCCGCTGCAGTGCCGGGAAATACCAACAACGAGCAGTGCATAAGGAGGCGCTGAAAAAAAACTTTAGTCAATTTTGTAAAGGAAAGATTCTATAACAGCTTGGTCGAGCGCTTGACGGTCAGAGTCGAATGAGGCAAAAAATAAAGGAACCACCAAACCGACCGAACGACCAACCGACCGACCGATCGGCAGGCTGACGGGCTGGCAGCAAGGCACGCATAATCAGGCAATTCGTGAGCCAAATCAAGCGTACAATCAACAGCAAGAAGCAGCGTCATCAAGCAGAGAAAGAAAAAGGAAGGAAAAATAAGAAGTAAAAGAAGAAAAAATAACTATAGAAATTGCAAAATTGAGCAAGAAAAAAAACGGCACAGAAGGATATGCGCAGGAAAACAGGCCGAGGCAGCGTAAAGATGAAAATGCCTTTTTCTTTCCAGAAAATTGTGCAAAAAAATCAGAGCAGCGCGTAAACAGCTTTATTGAAAAATTGCAATTTATTTACTGCCGCTGCGTTGAATCGACAATTTTCATATAATGTGTAAAGGAGAGGAAAAGTAATTCCATAACAAAATCAGCTTCGTTCTGCTCAAGGGTATATTAACTTCGTTAACGAACAGAAGATTCGATTAGGTTTAATGTGAAAATAAGCACGATCCAGTTTCTGAGCTGATCTACAAGGCTTTAGTGCCGAAAGCATAAAAAAGTATGGAGAATAAGGCAAGGGGAAAGTCAAAGTAAGTTCAAAATATCTTGCTTGGAAGTC